GGGAGTTGCCGGCAGGCTGCCAATTGTTTAACATCACTAGATATTGATTTTAGTTCTTGAACACATGTATCAATAACTAGTATGTATCAATATCTAGTGACGTTAAACAATTTGCAGCCTGCCGGCAGCTCCCCTCCAGGAGGAATCCGTCGAGAACACAAACAGTTGCAACCACTGCCATGACGGTACCAGTGGTGATATTCAGCGGGTTCGCACAGGTTCAGCCAAACCTGTTGTTAACATTTTCAAAGTTTTCCGAACCTTGTTAAACACATGTAACATTTCTCAGTGGTTTTGCTTCTTTTAAAAAATATATTAAAATATACGTACATACTCTGCAATACTACTAAACTAGAGCCTTATACTCCGTTTGCCATATGGCCGAGTGATCAAGGTGGCAGCCCACCGCTCTGGGGGACCCAGGTTTGAATCCGAATGGGACGAAAAATCCCCAGGAATTTTTCGAGGGTGGTCCGTTAGGATATGTCAGGCCCCACCCCTCCCCACCCAGCAACTCTATTATGGGCCTGGCCAAACTCATAATGGGCTTGCAAAAAGAGGCCCTCTTAGTGCCAACAGGGCGGAAAGAGTTAAAAAAAAAAAAAAACCCGTTTGCTGTGGTACGGCTTCCCTCGACCATTTCAATATCAACTGAAATGAGGTTCAATCGCAATTGACTCAAGAGATTTCTTGAAACTAGATCCAGTCATAAGAGAGATCCCACAATCCCACACGCGCAAGAAAATACAAAATGGTTGTGGAACATGTGTCGGGCTATAGACAGCGAAATAAAAAAGATATTGTATTTCGAGAGACGATGACATCTGTCTATTATTAGATATATCGCAAGAAAAAGTATTGTATTTATTTCTAACCAAAACTTCCATTTTGTTTGTTGGTGTTCGTGACTTACCGCGCAGTTATGTCAGTTTTATCATCGCATGTAATATCCGGGTTCTTCTCGATTTGACTGCGCACAGGCAGTCAATTTGAGAAAAAAATTGTTAAGGAAAAGTTTTCTGTTAGCGAACCCTTTGTTAAATATTTCGAATATCACCACTGGGTGCACATAATTAAATGGTAAAATTTTACCTAATATAGTTAATAGTACTTAGTTTTAAAAGATTACATGTTACTTTTAAAATATTTTGAAATAATTCAAAAAAATAAATATTTCTAAATGAAATAAGTAGAGTTTCTTTAATTAAATTTAAATGCAATACACACTCAACACAATACAATCAGCAACTCAGAGTGTCAATTGGCTACCGTATGTCGGATGATCACTCCTCAATGTATTATCATCACTTTGCCCCACTAGGTGATAGCAGTATTCATAATGACTGGTCAATTTGATAAATTAATCAATATTTATCACACTGCGCCCCCTTTTTGGTCATTATTCATAATGCCTGATTAATCACTTTGTCCATAACATATATATACACTCAACCCCCCTATAACGTGGGTTCATATAATGCAGATTCGTATATAATGCATATAATGCAGATACCGCGACGAAAAAATTGCGATTGTATTCATATAAAGACGCTAAAAGAGACTTGTAAAATGCGGTAAAACGTCATCGCTGACTCGTGTCGTGACAGGATTGGTCGAATCTAGACCAATAGTGGATGAGCAGCCGAACTACTTGCATGCTACGGAGAGTTTAGGCGGGTAAGTTGAGTTTACTATCGTCTGTACAGTCTATAGTCCTAAATTAGGTACTGTAAGTGTAATACAGTACTGTAATTTTATACATTTGTTGTGAAAAAACATTTCTTATTCAATGGTCATAAAAATTATTTCTATTAATGATGTCACCAAAGTTCAATAAATTTTTTGCAGAAAAATAACTCATCAGAAAACGCGCCCACCGTTTGGTGCGCTGCTCCGCGACAAAAACAAGCTTAAGCAATGGCATCGTTGAAAGGTGCACACTTGGTAAGTAATCCTACAATTTTTTGTTTATAGCATAATTTATACAGATTATTCCCAAAAAATTATACGTGTTTTGGAAATGTTGAGTGAAATTAGTTGATTAATTTTATGGAAGAAAACCTTTCAAACAGCTGTAGTCCGTAAACTGCACATGTGCTGGACTGTGATTGGCTCACATATTTAAGGATTCCTACAACGCGAAATTCTTATAAAGTGGAATGTATCTACTGCGTTATAGGGGGATCGACTGTATAATGTATAATGGTATCTATGACAAAAAGCAATAAATATCAACGTATAATTCAAAACCAACTGTCTAATGATGTTATTTAATAATAAAACAAAATTATAGACACAAACAGAAGCAATTTTGGTAAAATAATTTATTGTTGCCAGGCAATGGATCAAAATACAGATTCAAATTAAACAGATAGAACGTTGTAATTATGTTTTGTTGGGGTGCAATTTGAAAAAATTGTAGAACTATAAATTCCCCACTCGTTCATCTGTCTTTCCATAATCTCGAGAACAGAGTTAGATAGCAAAAGATGAGACCAGATATGGAAAGCTTAGGGGTAGGAGGCCCCAATTAACTATATAAGAACTTCTAATGCAAACTGGAAGTCACATTATTTCAATTCAAAAATTTTCCCCTGTAAAATGTTAGACCATGACTGGCATGACACTATTAATAAAGGAAAAGTATGATGTACAGGAGCAAGACACTATTAATTTGAGGTGGAGAGCACATATTTTAAATTAAATAAATTAAAAATATGATTAAAAATTGCAGCCAGCATTATGACAATGTCACAATAAATAATTGCTCATTTATTATTAAACACCACTATAAGACAAATGGTTTTTCATTTTACTTTAATACAGTAGAGCGTCGATTATCCGAAAGTCAATCATCCGAAAGAATTTCAGTCAGCAAATTTAAATTTTCGCTAGTGCTGTGGCGCTGCAATCTTCGGCTATTTCTCAGGCTACTCAAATATTTTACGTTTTTCATACTAAATTAACTTTTGAAGTATAATTTTTTATTGTTTTTATATTTTTCAATATATTTATTTTGTTTGTACAAAATAAAAAAAATAATTTTTAACGATACAATAGTCTTCGTTAGGCTCAACATCGATGAAAATTGAACGCGAAGCGACACACAACGGAGAAAAATTTCAACATGGGATAAATTAAACTATTTTTTCGTACATAATCGGTTATCCGAAATATCAGTTATCCGAACAACCCCAGTCCCCAATTGATTTGGATAATCGGCGCTCTACTGTAATAAATATAATCAAAAAGCATTAATATTTGCCAAAATATCAACTTTTTCTCTATTTTGATTTCATAATTATCAATAAATATATAATTTCTGAACATCTAGAGAGAAATATTTTGACATTGCAAAATTTTGAATATTTTCTAATGTTTTTATCTCATTTGTTATTTTAAAAAAATGATGTTTCATTTTATTGAATGAAAAATAACTAATTTGCAATTTTTTATGATTAAGATTATCATCATTAAAAAATAAATTAACAATTATAAAAAAACAAATTATTATAAATCACTATTTCACTCAGTAAGTATACACTCACAACCAAATTAGTTCTGAGTATGTAAAAACTTACATTATTAGTTGTTAAAACATTAAATTGATGTAATAATGTATATCTCTTCAGTTTTATAACTAATAAGTCTAAATAATGTCAAACTGATATAACTATGCATTATCTAAATCAAATAAAATTCATAAATTTTAATCTCAATGTTTTTCTTGAAATGTTATTAATACCTTTTCCCTATCCTGTCATTTCTATTTTCATCTATAGCTGTTTCTATAATTATGTACTTATTTGATCTATCTTTTGTATATACTAGAAACAGGATGAAATTGGAGAAATAAACTTGTTAGGTGCTAATAGTTTATCAAATTTCAAATATGTATGCAAAATTTTTAAAAACAAATTTAAGAATTGTTGTAGGCTAATCAATTATATAAATTTTTCTTGAGTCCATTAAATAAAGTATTTATATTAAGATTTTTTTACTTTGGTTGGATGAAATTTTATTATTTTATTGTACAATTTTGACAAGTTTGCATACAGTAGCTCTAACTAAAAATATACTGACAAGAAATAATTGTGCTATCACATTATTCAAATTAATCTTATTTTTTGACAAATTCAATTAATTAAAATTGTATTCCTAATTAAAGCTGATCCATGCTCATTTGTTTAATTTTATATTTTTGAGAAAAAATATAATGCTTACTAAGAAATTGTTACTAAGAAATGCTTACTAAGAAACAGAAAAGATCTACATTTGATTGCTCTTATTTTTCAAACTGTTAAAAGGTTTATGCTATTTTTATAATGTGCTAAGAAATATTAATAAAATATAAAATGTACCACAAAATACAATCAATTACAAAAAATTATTAATTAAATCACATTAAACAAAAAATTTTTTAGCAANTATACATTTTCTTGAAAAGTATCAGAATCTTCAATAGAGCTAAATATCCTTCTAAATTATTTTCTAACATTTTGACCACTTTAAGAAACATCTCTGAAATGGTAATTCCATTTAGTTATAAAACAAATCATAAAAAAACTATAAAAATGGTTTACAGTTTATTCAGATTAAATATTTTTTGAGATGTTATGTGTATCAACAAATAAACTCAAATAATAACAAATTTAACTGTAGAGCAATCAGGAATTTGCTATCTTGGTCTATGGTTAAATTTATCATTGAACTATTGATCTGATGATGAATCATATAATGCCTTGAAAATATTTAATCTGAATAAACTAACTCCTTGAACTGTTTAGCATTTTTATGATTACTCTTCCTTTAGAATATTTTAAACGTTAAAAATCTTTGAGAAATAATTAATATGCATAATTAGACTTATTACAACATATCTAATATTAAAAAACTAGAAAAACTTCAGGCATTAGTAAAATAAAAACAAAATTTGATTGTTTAATCAAATGCTTTCATTTCAATACTGTAAATGGATATAATGCCTGAAGTTGGCTTATTTTTTTTAATATATATGATGTACAGTAAGTACTCAGAATACTGCACTTACATTTTTTAAAGCATCAAAAAATAGTGATATGACATTAAATATAACTGGATGAGATGAATATCACATTAATTTAATGGAATATCTTGATGGTCACTGGGTGTGTTGAATAATAATTCAATGGCAAATTTTTCTCTAAAGGTTTTCCAAGTTTTTGGTTTATGAGGATTATCTAATTGATCCCTCTTAATTAATAATCTGAAATGAAGTTATTATATGTATACATAATATTTTAAATGGATTTTTGTAAATAAAACTTACCTATCATCTTCTATGAAACTTGTATGGAACCATAGGTAAAAAGGACAATTTTCATAGCCTCTAGGGACATTTTTCTTAAAAAGTAAGAAATCTCTCTTAATATATTAATAGGAAAATTACATGACAGTAATTTTTAAAAAGTATATATATATATATAAAACTTACAGATGTAGTAGAAAACCTTAGCTTTATATCTCCTAAAAGTATGGGACAATTAAGTATCATAATATGTAGAACATCCTGCTCACTATGATATGTAGCCTAAAAAAAATTAATTTTAATTGTTAAATGTTTTCTTAATTCAGAAAGGTATGTCATTTTAAGTTAATCTTATCACCTGGCAATTTTTATTTGCACCAAAATCACAATCCAATACTTTCTTCCTTCCAATAAATATCTCGCAAGTAAAATCATAGCCATTTCCTTGTCCCACACCTAATTTAATAAAATTTTTTCATTAACCTTTATCAAAAGCTATATTAAATAACTACAAAAACTAATTATAATACTTAAAAATAAATTTGTCTTATTACCTGCCATTGCATAAATTTTTATTTCAGAGAGTTTCAAAGGAATTTCTTCAGGTGGTTTACCTCCATATTTTTCTTTCACTTTTTGGAAATATCCCACATAACGACTCTGGAAGTGGAAAAAAAAATTATTAAATAATAATCAAATCTATTTCAGATATTAATTGCTGTTAAATAAAATTATAAAAAACATTTTATAAAATAGCAATTAGTAATTGATTTCAAGTTGATTTCAACGTGACAATGAACAGTTTTAATAAAATATGACTTCTGTAAAATTAATAATATAAAATAATTTTATTTGATATAAATTGGAATTTTTATATAACTAACAACTTTGGACATAGATTAATTGTATTTGTATTTGGTCTTAAATATATGAAATTGGTATTTAAGACACAGTGTTGATGAACAAAAATAGCATATATTATAAACATTTGGTATTTTCTATAAAACAATTAATCTAAAACAAATTCCCAAATGGTTGCTAATGATCTTAAGGAGTCATTTACTGTGACAGCAAAGAAAAATCTTTCATCTGTGTGCCAAAGTAGGCATATTTAAGAGAAAAAATTTATGGTATGTTTGCCAAAGTTTTGAGTCTGAAAAGATATTTTTAAGAAATGAAATTAACACACTTATCTTTTTAAATTTGCTCTAATTAATCAACTGTAAACAACAACTAATATTTTAATTAAGCCAAATAATCTTGCCAAAATTATTACAAAATTAACACAGTAAGGAGGAGTTGTGGATTCAAGTTGCTGATTCTTTTCTTCCAGAAATTTCTAAATTATTATAATTATTGAAATTAATATGAGATAATGGCTTAACAACTTACCCTCTAGCTGAATTAATAATTATTAATGTAGCCCAAAAATAGCCTAATAATGTCAGTAAGATCGTTTGGCTTAAATTGATTATGAAAATAAAAAACTGAAATTATTATAGGCCTAAAGTAAAATCAGATCATATAATTTCATTGTCATTTATACATTTACTTAATCAGAATGAATTTGTTAAACTGATTTTGAAGTATTTTGTATTGAAGAAATACATACAAAATTTTAAATCTGAAACTGTGTTGTCTTAATTTCTTTGATTCACTAACACAAGGTGTGTTTCTATTTCAACACTTGGCAATATTCCTTGACAACACGGTTTCAGAAGATTTAAAACGGATTATTACATAGAAATGGCAAATATCATCAAAGCAAAGATTACCAAAGGAAGCCAACAGAAGATCACCAAAAGAAGCCATCAAGAAAAGTTACCAAGAACAACTCTCACATTGACTGAGGAGGGGCAGTGCCCGAAACGTGTTATTGTACTTGTAACCATATCAACTAAATAAAGATGGAATACCGCCAAGTGTTGAAATAGAAACACACCTTGTGTTAGTGAATCAAAGAATTACATACTGTGATTATTGCAATATTCTATTATTTATGATTAATAATAATTATTCTGAATACTATACAGTAAAAAAACATCTTAACATGCAACATGTCATATGTTTTCATATGACCTGCTGTATGTCAAGATCTTGTATGCAAGCAAATTCTCCTGGAATGCTAATTTTAACATCACAAGTTCACCATTCCTGTACTATGGGTTGTTTGGGGATAGTAAACAAATTATATTTTTAAAGATAATTAAAATAATTATATAACAATTAATTGATATATCTTTATAATTTAATTAAATTTTTTCTTTACTTTNATTTTTAACGATACAATAGTCTTTGTTAGGCTTAACATTGATGAAAATTCAACGCGAAGCGACAAGCAACGGAGAAAAATTTTGACATCGGATACGTTAAACTATTTTTTCGTACATAAATCGGTTATCCGAAATATCAGTTATACGAACAACCCCATTCCCCAATTGATTCGGAAAATCGACGCTCTACTGTATTCTGAAATAATTTAAAATGTAATGTGCTTTAAGATATCAATATTTTAATCATATTAAAAAAGTAATTGTTTTTTTCAGACAGAGAGAAAATGCAAATAAGATGAAAAATGAAAAACATTATGTTGCAATTGAATTTGTATCATATAAGGATTTGAGTGATATTGAATATGTTATGTGTCATTTGAGAGATATTCCAGAAAAAAGAAATTCTGTAACAGTGTGCAAAAATTATGCAGTAAGTATATTATTTATTATATGCAGGTTTGCAACACTTAACAATATTTTGCTTAATGAAGAACTACATATATATTGGAGGTAAGCTCCAAAATTTGTAGCTGCTTGGTCCTTTTCTATGTTTAAATACATAAACATTTATCATTGTATTCCACTTGAATGGCTTGGATGCAAAAAGTGATAAGTCACACAGAAAAATTTATGAAATAGCACATTTAAATCTTTAAACATATCAATTTCAGGATATGTTTATAGATTTAAATATGATATTTTTTAACTTCTTTGCAGTATGAATAAGTGCACTAAAAAAAATCCAGAAATGAGTTGCTTACCTTTTTCAACAACATTTAAAACTGTGTGGTGCCATCTGTTATGATATTTTATTTTTAAACATTTTTATATTTTTAATTCTTATAAAATGGCAAAAAGCTTACTTTTGAGAATAGAGATGGGTTTTATAAAAAATTGTAAATGCTAACAACAAGTAAAATCATCATTTTTTGGATGTGGGGAGATAAAGTCCCTTTATCTCCCCACCCTGTCAATCTTTAACCACAAAATTTTAATAGCATCAATCCCCTAATACACAAACCTCTCTGCAAAGTTTCAGAAATTTTTTACAAAAAGCACAGGAGTTATTAAGTTTCAAAGAGGGTAACCAAAATAGTCTTTGGTTGGTTTAGACGTAAAAATTTATTCCTTAACACATTGTAAACTACAGAAGAATCTCGTTTTAACAGATCGCATGAGCAAAAAAACCCCCCCACCCATTGTTTTAAGAATCCATTATATTGCAAATAACAAATTTCCCACACACCCAGAAAAATATCCATTATTTGAAAAATTTTCATTTTTAATCCCTACATATAAGAAATACCAGTACTTGAAATTATTCAGTCTCTTGAGATCTCTATTCTTCATCCTATAGTAACACATATGTTTGTAATATATATATGTATATTATGCCATATGTATGTATGACAAAGCTGATGAAAACTGTACACTCTGTAAGCATAGAGGCAAATTACTTATTCTCATTAGCACTTTGCTTGACTTCACAATTTTTTAAAAACTTGTCCATCTTGGTTTCTTTCAATGCAATCTTTCTGTCTATTGAATACAACATTGCCTGAATTAGCAATGTTGTGCACAGTACAGCCTGTTTATGCTGAAACTTGTCAGGATGGTCTTCATGACTTGGAAATACTCAATAGCATCACTAAATTTTGGCACTACACTTGGACCAGTGATAGATTGTTCACTAGGTGACTCTCTTCATACAATTCTTCAATTGTACATATCCCAAATGTAACAAGTGCATCGTCAAACTACAAATTTCCAGAAACATCCAAATATTAACTAACTGTTGAAAAAATACAAAGTTTACAATAGAGTTGGGATAGAAAAAAGTTGCAGGTATAATTGCATTGATTTGGTGGGACATGGAAAAAAAATCCATTGTTCCTTGATCTGTTAAAACAAGATTCTACTGTAATTGTAAAAAATTGTAAAATTATTTATGGCCCACCTTGTATAACTTAATATGAAAATTTAACAAAATAAATTCAGAAGTAAAAAAAAAAAAAAAAAAAAAAAAGTGCTTAAAAACTTCATTTTCTAAACTTACTTGACTTGGAGTTTCCACACCTTGAAATTTACTTCCAACACTTAAATCTGTTCTTCTATTGCCAAAATAGTCCAGACTTGCCTAATAAATTTTATGTTAAATATATTTGATTTGAAATGAAATAATCTATTATGATTTCTTTGACTTAATTATCTGCAAATTTATAGCTTTAATTAAGCATAATAGTTTGTTAATATATTCTTAAAATGAATTCATTGTTTAAAATATCACAAATTTGAAAATATTTTAAATAAAATTATAAACATACTTCAGCACTTCCAAAGAGTCCTGCTTCTACAAGCCATACACAGATCATTGTACCAGTTCTTCCTTTTCCACCTTTGCAGTGAACAGCAATTACATTTTCTTTATCTTTTGACAGCCAATCTTTAACATTTTCAACAAATCTAACCATATCTCTAAATTAATTTAAAAATTTATAATCAAACATAATATCTCCTACAGGATCATCATTGCATTGTATTGTATTATTAAAGTAATTTTTTTTATTGCAATTATAATTCAATGGGAAATTGAACAGACATTTTAAATAAATAAATACACACTATATAAAAATAATTACTTACTTTAAAGAAGGAACATTATGATCATCTATGATAAATCGCTCAACAAATCCATGGAAATAAGAATCATCATAAGTTCTTTCACCTGTGCAACAAAAATCAAATTATTTTTCTATATATAGCTCTGAATTTTGTGTTGTAATATTATTAATTTAGTAATAATTTAATGCAAATTTAGAGACAAATAAAAATTTATTTCAAAATTAAATATTTCTGATAACTTATAAAATATAAACACTCATAAGTGGGTTGTGCTGAATTTCCAGTATTCAGGCACCACTGAAAAATTGCACACAGTATATTTGTGAAAATAAATTGTAAAAAATGATTAGATTAAATCATAACTATTTACTACCTGTTTTTAATTAAATGCATTGTCTAATAAATTATAATTTTCAATTTTTATGTGACAAAAATTTTAATCTGTAAAACTTAAAAGTTGAAGTGAAACTCTTATTATAGTTTTATCAAGTATGTTATAATGATTTTAAATTAATCTACTAAATATTTAATATTTAGAGATAATTAGAGATTTTCCAAATACAGTAATCCTTCCATTTATGTAAATTCATTTTAATGCAGTTGAAAAATTTTTAAATTTTAAATAATCCACTTTAGGGAAATATATGATACTTATATCAAAAAATGGTTGTTTTTTTGGTTATTAATAAACCCTTATATAACCTATTTAAAAAAAAAAAATTAGTTAAAACTTTTCTACTTTAGTAAGAGTGAAATAATCTATTCAAGAATATGGAACAAACTGCTTTATTTCCATGTCTATATATTTATGCAGTTTTCATTTATATGCTGTTTTTGTGGAATCCAATTATTTATGTAAATGGAGGGAATTATGGCAATATTTTTCAGTAAACTTTTCTTACTATCAGAAAATAGAGAGGAGAGAATTTGTCCAAGATTTGACATTACAATCAATACATAATCTAATAGAATTCTAAATCAATTTCCTACTCTAGCTAATAATTATAATGAAATGGACAAGAAGTTTTAAATAATTTCTATAATTCAAATGTAAGACTACAGATAAGAAATTTATTATGTATGTTTATATGCTTTTGATTTATGATTATTTTGATGATTTTTAATTTCTACTAAATTATGTCCTTAATTAATTAAACTTAATGCTTACTTTGAAATATGCCAATAAATATTTTTGACACAATTATTATAAATTTAAATTTGATACATTTGCAAGAAAGAAATCAAAGTGTAAATAAGAAAAGAAACAATATATAAATGAAAAGCATGAAGGTAATTTTTTATATTTTGTGCATCTGATGTAATTTTTTTATATTTTGCTTCATGTTAGAAATACATAAGATATGAGAAAACTATTTATGATAAGAAAAATACTTAACAAAAAGCAAATTTCACTTACTGCAGAGATTATAAACTTTATAATGAGCATAATGTTTTGTATCTAGAAATTTTGCCACATCCTGAAAATAATAAAGAAAAATATATGTAAAATACTTAACATTACAAATGGTCATATGTTTTTTTTTATACTTTTTTCATCATTATATACTTTTTTATACACTAGTTTTCATCATACTATACTATATTAAAAATTTTAAACAGGCTAAGTCACAAGAGTGTATTCATAGATATTTTCTTATTTTTTTTGCAGTTGATATGCTGAGATATATTTTGCATTTGTCCCAACAGGAACATAGAGGTCATTCTCATTGCAAGATTTGAAAGCTGTTGCAAGGTTGCTGAGAAATTTACACACACACATCTACATAGTTGAAAGGAGATTATGTACATTACTAGAAAAATCTAAAACTATACATTTTAAAAGGCATCAAATTTTAATCCTTTATGCTTCATAAAACATTGTAACATCAAAATATTAATAATTTTAAGCACAGTGTATTTATTTTATTATTAGTTTTCTCTACGTTATTTGCAATTATTTTTTTCTTTTTTATTAGTATTTATCATTTAAATGTTTGTTTATAGTTATTTAACTTATGTATGATTTTAATAATAGTTATAAATAATTATTATAACAACTCAACAGATTATTATGAAATAATGCAAAATGCTGGGTGAGCTACCAAGAAAGTCTTTGATGGAACTCTTAGGATGCATGCATGATTTTAATTCTACAATTTATCATTTAAACATTTACACAAAAATTACGCTCTTGTTTATATAACAATGACAAAATACATATTTTAGTTGTTAACCATTAACTCTAAATACATGTACAGTTCTAAGATGTCAAATTGTTATATATTTTGAAAAAATAATGAAGTTAAAATTTAACGATAAGTATATTTAAGTTTTAATTCAAGTTGATGAAACTGAAAATAATTGATAAAATAAAAAAGGTATTGACAGAACTACTGCAGTGTTAACAAATGGCAGAACTATATGTCATAAATTAGTGTTATAATCAAATGAAAAAAACCATTTATAAAGACATCTTTTTAACAAAAATTATATTTTTTTGCTATAATATGCTCAATAACCAGATTCTACTTTGCTATTATCATTTGATTCAAATGCAACAAAAGTTTTTTTACTTCATAAAAATTGCTTACATTTTCTTCATTTTTTTTTTAATGTAAGACACCAGACACATTTCAAATCCTAAAACTTACTTCAAATTCATAAAATAAAATGAATTATGAAATACAGTGGAACCTCACTTAATGAGCATAATTCATTCCAGAATCTTATTTGTAATGTGAAACACTTGTTATGCGAAACAATTTTTCCCACAAATTAATGTAAAATACAATAATGTGTTTCATAAAAAAAAAATACCTAAATATTTTATGTATAATGTTTATTCAAAGAAAATTATACAATATACATTGTTAAGGAATGTGAATCATCTTCATGTTTTCTTCTAGCACAGAATGAACCAACCTGGAATGAGAATTCAATTTGCAGGAAAAAAAAAAAAATCAAAACAGACAGTAATTTCTAATATTTAATTATAGCCTTTACTTAGCCCAAGAATTTGGCATATCATTTTGCATGTTTATTATATAACAGTCTATGATTGTTGGTGTTTATATGTAATATATCTGAACACAAGTTTGGAAAAATGTGTGATCACAAGTGACACTAAGATGCTAGTGGAATAAGTGCAAAACACAGACTGATGTAGCATGCACACAATCCGGGACTTCCCCTCTTCTCGTCACTTGTTATGTGAAATGTCACTCCTTAAGCGCTTAATTTTTTTTTTTACAATTTATTTTGTTTGTTATCCAAATAACTCATTACAAGAGGTGCTCATTAAGCGAGGTTCCACTGTAGATAAAAAATTCTATATTAAAAGGAATATTTTATTATTATTATTTTGCTATGTTGAAATATTTATTTCATCAAATATGAATGTGTTTTGAATAAAATATAGCTTTAATCATCATTAATTTTCATTAGATGATACAAAATAAAATTTTCAATTTTATTGGCTTTTTTTAATACACTTTTAATTTAACATAATCTGAGAAAAAATTCAACTCTCTTTTTACACTATTTGACAAAGTTGTCAATAAAGTTACCTTTCTAAAAGAATTCTATTTGATTTTACAGCTAAGAAAAAAATATTCATACTTCTTTTCTATAAAATTACTTTTTTAAAAAATTCTTATCATCAATAAATTGCTAATCAACAAAGCTCTTAGTTAAGATGAAATAATGAGGGTTGCCCTTGAGGCACCTGATCTCAAAGAAAATAGTGATGATGGTAAAGAGGTTCCATTCAACACAAGTTTAAGGTAACATCTGTAACTTAAAATAGTGGAATTACCAAACAATTTGCAAGATTTTTATCTATTTTAAGTCTAATAAATAATCCAAAACAAAGTAATTTGGCTAAAGAAAGGCAGTTAGGTCACCATCTTGTAATAAATTTAATAATTATAAATGAATTTTTAAATTTTAATTTAGAATACTCTGAAAGAAAAGAATCATCCTGAAGCAGAATTCAAACCTACAATGCAACTGCTTATCATGCAGTTGCATTGCTAGTTATGCATCTTGCACCTCTGTCCAATCTTTGCTTCCAGACCTATTATAGGTAACCTTGTATAACACAGTACTTAGATTTCACAAAATATATATGAGAACTATACATAATCTTTCATTGCACACAAAAAATAAATTTTTAGTCATCTTCAATACAATTTTCCAGAACAACATTTCACTGATATTTTTTATTTGCCAACGGCTTCATCACTTGAAACCTTTTGCATATAGCTATAACTTTCAACTTTCAGATTCTTCTTCTGATTTAATTTTCAAGAAGTCACTTATGAAAATTTGCTAAGTGTTTTGTTTCAATTGTTTTTAAAGTTCATTATATGGTGCTATGCTAAACAAATTTCCAATTATCTTTGAATAAGATAAACATATTTCATATGAACTTTTATATTAAAATTGCATTGTATAAGTACCAAGTTATACAAGGTTTGCTACAATTTGCAAACCATATTATAATGAAGCTGTGTTGTGTAAGTATACCACGGATTACTTGTAATTAATGTGTCTAGATATAACTGAACTGGTCATTCAGAGCACTGACTTAGCATCCATGGCCTTCCAAGGCTTACAGCCAGCTTACACTTTAACCCCAGCATGACACATTAATAGCTTTAGAAGCAAAAATTGGATGAAAGTTTGGGTAGTGTAACTGGAAATGCAACTGACAGTAAACAAACTGAAAATTCAAGTCTTGTTTTTGGTCAATTCTTTTCTTCCAGAGTAGTCTAAATTAAAATTCAAACATTTTTTTATTTATTTATAATTATTAAATTTATCATGAAATGGCAACCTAACTGCCTACCTCTAACAGGTAAGAAATCCATAGACAGGAATGCAGAAAACAAAAAAAATATGTCTTGAAAACTTTACTACCCAAGTTACCCATCTTTATTCAGAAAAAACCCCAGAGAGGGTGCACCTAAATCCACCCCTACCTATCTCTAGCTAAATTACTTTGTCTTGGATTATTAGATTTAAAATAGCCCAATAAAAATTTGAAAGATCATTTCTGCAAGTTTAATTAAAGAAGGAATTCAATTGGCCAGTAAATCAGGAAATCATTTTCTTACACACAATCCTATTGTCAAATGAGTTGAGCGATTTAAACATGATCTGAGATCATGTGTAAACAATTACCAAGAACTATACAGTGATCTAGCTAAAACAGGATCATGACAACTGAATTTATTATTAAAACTAATAAAGCTTCAGCAATGGCCAAAAACAAGTAATTTTGTTCAAGATACCAGAAAGAATCTCATTACTTGGTTTACAATCTTATGCAAATGAATACATTTATTATCAGAAAATGACAGTTATATGCATAATAACTAGATTTTATTGACAAGACTATGTCTTGTCAATAATCTAGTTATGCTGCTGTCAACAGCTGCACAACAAAACGAGGTATGAAGGAATACATGTCAGGAGTTGCAATTTGGCACAGAGTATTTGGTGCCCAAATCATGCACACATAAAATAAACCAGACTTGTAGGTAGTCAGGGAACTGAGAACTGGGCCAAAAGAAAATATGAAATGCTGAGACTGTTTCTACAAACAGGCACAAGTGTGAGATTTTCACATGCGTTGATTGCGCTCTCCGAGACATTGTTTCATTCCAAAAATGGCTTTGCTGTTTTATTATTTATAATGTCATATCTTTTGGTCCAATTTTGTGTTTATGAATTTGTGACATATTTTCTTTATATATGTTAATTATTTATAAAAATTATAGTTAATAAAATAAAAAATGCATATAAATACAAAAACCACATTAAGATTTTGACAGATTTTTAAATAGTTTGAACATCACATTAATTTATTTACCATATTATTTTCATTAATTTTTAAAGTGTAAAGCTAATTTTACATTTTCATATGGATGGTATTTCTCTAACATTCTCTTTTTACATGATTTTTCTGAAAAGTTTCTACATGTAAAAACAGAAATGTGTATATGTAAACAAAATAAATATTTCTTTTGCCAATATAATTAAAACATTTAAATTGCTTCAAAACATATTATACAATTTCTTATTACTTTAAAATAAATTCTGTAATTTGTTTTACTAATCTGACATTTCAAACTTTTTATGAGCATCCCAATCACATAAGTATCGCTCTGAAACATTTTATTAAATCAAAAAATTTTCTATTAGAAATAAAGTTTTAATAGCATTTAAACTATTTACCTTTATTGGATTTCTATATAGAGACATCTTTCCTGATGATGGAAATGACATTGCTATCACTCTCTCTTAAAAATAAAAATTAGAATATATTATTGAAAATATATGTAACAAAATAAAATCACTGCATTTAATATTTTTCTAATAGAAAAAAAGATTTCTGACAAATATTTTCTTAGTCCCTCCTTTGGCAGAAAATCAATCAATAGAAATAATCTTTTTAATTAAATTTTTTAAATTACAAATTGAAAATTAATGGGAATAATTTAATTCTAATTCATAAAATGTTTGAATATTTTAATATATTATCGGTTATAAAACATTTCATTTTATTGAACAATATGAGTACAGTGAGTAAAGGAACTTTATTAAATAATAATGAATGTCTAATAATTGTATTATAGTGTTTGAAAGTAGCATTTTATTTTTACTATATTAAAAATAATACAATTTTGTTTAAAATGTTAAAAGTTAGAGTTAATGAGATCAGAATTTTGAAAATTAAATTTTAAACTTTTTATTCAATTTAAACAATTCATTCATTCAAACAATTTATGAAAAAAATTTTAATATATGAATATAAAATTATTCAATGAAATTTAATGTTAAATCAAAATTACTGCTAATTATTTTTAAATAAGCTGAACAGATTTATATTAATAAAAGTAAGTTTTATTACAGTTAAATTTTGCAACATTGTATTTTATGAGATATAATATCAGTCATTTTTCATAAAAACTTTCCAAATATATTTGTGAACAGTTTTTTATTTCATATTCTAAAAATTGCAAAATTGTAATGAAGCATCCACTAGTGTAGTATTTTGTTTAAAAATTACATAAAAATTCATATAATCTTTGAAATGATTCAATTGTTTTAGTATCTAATCTCAATTTAGAATTACTATTATGTTTTCTAAATCCTTTGTATAAAAGGTAAGTGATTTATAAAAATAATAAGATGCTGAAATAATAATTGGATGCATTTATCATCTCTAAATCTATTCTATTATAATCAAAATAGAATAGATTAATTAATTATACTGATATTTCATTCAATCTACTTATTACTCCATTTTATCTAATAATGATTTTATAATCAAAGAAAATAAAATAATATTAATGAGCAATTATTCATTGTGGCATCATCACAATGCACTTTTGTAGTGTCTTGCCCTGTACTGTACATCATACTTTTCATGTTAACAAAGAAGTCATGCTGATCATGTATATAACTCCATCCAGAAGAAAAGATTTGAATTGAAATAACAGAACTACTAGCCCAAAATGGAAATTCACATATAGTTAATTGGGGCTTCCTGCCCCTAAGGTTTCCATATCTGGTCTCAGATTTTATCTATCTAACTCCATTCTCAAGATTAAGGAAAGACAGATGGATAACAGCGGGAATTTATGTCTAAAATCTTTTCNGAAATTCACATATAGTTAATTGGGGCTTCCTGCCCCAAAGGTTTCCATATCTGGTCTCAGATTTTATCTATCTAACTCCATTCTCAAGATTAAGGAAAGACAGATGGATAACAGCGGGAATTTATGTCTAAAATCTTTTCAAATTGCAGTCCAGAAAACTTTCATGTCTTCTAAATGGAAATATGCACATTTTTTATTTTAGTTTTTGAAAATTTATTAATAAATTTTAAAATGGAAAATTATAAAATTAAAAATGTATCTTACTTGGCAAAACCATAATTTGAAGAAAAGTCTACAGCTGTATAAGTTACAGTTACAATAAAAGAAATGAGTACAACAACAAAATCCACTGAATTAAACCATTCACTAAAAAATTCTTTTGGACTAAAAAAAACAAAAATATTAAAAAATTACATAATATAAAATATAATTAAATAATTCTTAAATAATTTTTAATGTTATGAAAAATAGTAAACAAACTAGTTATTTACCCCTTAGCAAATATTCTAAGGCAAACTTCTAAGACAAATACACAAACAAAACAAACAGCAACAAGTTCATATGCTAGCTGCTCATCTTCACTTTTATCAGTGATAAACAAATCAGCAATTAAAACACTGATATCAATTATGATCAATAATAGGCCAAACACCCTTTAAAAAATATTGTGTATTAGTAAATGATAAAAGTTTCAAACAAAAGTATGATTATTTACCTGAATATTAAATGTTCAACAACTCTTCTTAATTTATATTGTAATTCCCTACAAAAAAAAAGTTCAATTTTATAATTGCATGTAACTCTTATGTAATAGAGTCAAAAAAATAAACCAAACTTTTGGTATAGGTTTGATTTGGTATATGGTTTTATGTATTACACAATACATAGAAACTTATTCCTCTCACACCATATCACTTTCAAAATAAGTTTTTAGTGTAACTATCCATAATCAAAAAGTATCAGGAATGGTTCAATAAAACACAATATTTAAATTTATCCATCAAAATTCATTTTGTGCCTTTTCAAAGTAATCCTCTCCCACTGCAATGCACTTATGCCAATGTTTCTTCCAATCCCTGAAACATGCTTTAAAGTTGTTTTTGTTAAACCCCTTCAGGACTCTCAGCAAATTTTTGTTTTATGACATTAATCAACTCAAAATAGTGACAATAAAGTGAAAATTTAGTTGAGGAAACAAGAAAATGTCACGTGGTGCCATATCAGATGAATACAGAGCTTGTGGAACAATATTTGTCGAATTTTTGGCAGGGCTGTGGAGTCGCATAAAAATCTACCGACTCCAACTCCGACTTTTCCTTACCATCCGACTCCGTTTCATATACAGTGGGTGATCGGTTAACGAACATAATCCATTCCAAGACTTTGTTCGCTATCCGAATTGTTCGTTAACCGATTATCGATTTACCATAGGTTTCTATGGGAATTTGATTAATTCGTTCTGGAAACCCCCCAAAAAATAAAAATATATATACTTTCTTACTACGTTTATTCACATGTAATAATAAAAATACATATATACATGGGCTTGCATTTTTATTAGTCGTGTTTTTTCCGTTTGTGGGGGTTAAAGAATCTGTCCAATGTCGATTGCTTTTCTGTCTTCTTCATGATTTTTCAGAAGTAATTAATAGCATTGTAATTGTAGAGATCTATAGGCCTATTAACCTCAACCTGGTTTGGATGCCATTTTAAGACCGTTGTTCTGACATCCTCCCACTTCTTCAAAAGATCTTTAATAGCAGATATCGGCATAAATCCGTATTTTCAGAAGAAAACGTAAAAGAATTGTTTCTATAAAATATAAAAGGCTGGAATTACAAGGGAGAGTTTCAAAGTTCAGGGGAATACTATTCAATCAGTATATACTGGGTAGAACGTCGTTGTCGACGTCTCCCGCGCTCCGAAGAGTTTCGAATTGTTGCCTGAGACAAAGGAAGACAAATCGGTATTCGTTATTTACGCGCTTCTTCTTGTGTTTGTTCAGTGAAGTGTTCGTTGTCCGATCATAAAAATCTTTCGCGAAAGTGTTCGTTAACCGATCACCCACTGTACATAACAAGTTGGTAAGTAAAAGGGAGTCAGAGTCGGCGGAGTTTTTGACGACTCCGACTAAAACACCAAAACTCCACGACTCTGATGCCACAGCCCTGATTTTTAGCCAAAAATTCATGAAATACAAGAAAAATTCATCAGTTTTCTTGCCACAAATCAGGTGCATTTTCTATTAATTGCTTTGGCGCAAAAAAATAAAACACCCAAATAATATTCTTTGTTGACAGTTTGGCCAGTCAGAAGGAATTTGTGATGCACAACACCACGACAATCAAAGAAAATAATCAACATGACCTTGATTTTTGACTGACTTTGACCTGGTCTTTTTGGTCTTGAGTTTGGACCTTTTGAGTATCATTCACTTGATCTTTGTGCTGTTTTGGTGTCAAAAGCATAAGTCCATGTTTCATCACCTGTAATGATGTGTTTTAAAAATGATTCATCTTGAGAAAGCATTTCCTTGGCCACTTGAACATGTTTTTAGAAAAATATTCAACATTTTCAGAACCACTTGAGAAGCAGTGCACCGCAAGTCCAAATGATAGTTTAAAATTGCTCAATGAGATCTAAATGATACTGGAATATGTACACGTTCAATAATGTCCCTAATTGTTAAATGATGATCATTTAGATCAAATTTCTGACTTGAGCAATATGTTGTTCATCAGTTAAAGTAGACAGTCTACAAGAATGTGGTTCATCTTCAACACATTCTCTGCCATTCTTGAACATCTTATACCACTCAATAACTCTTTGTTTTTGATAGACTATCACAACCAAAGGCTTTTCCAGTAATTCTGTTGAGAAAACAAAATTTAATGAATGTTCTTTGCTCGACATTTTGAAAAATCGCCAGCGCAAAAATTCTTTACAGACAAAACAAGCATTTATTTGCAAATGAAAACAGACTATGACATACAAGATTGCTGCTAGATGTCAATGAAAGTTGTATCAAATGATGAAAAAAATGACAACAGCAACTTCTTGCAAATGCGCAGTTTAAATGAACCATTCCTGATACTTTTTGATCACAGTAGTATACTTCTGCCTGCATCTATACTTCTTGTCATAATATTGCTACAAGCCATATTTTTTGTGATATCATTAAGGATTCTTGTTGCTGAAATTTCCTCTATTACTGTTAATTAAAACCAGAAACTTTTCAACTTCTCTTTCATTTTAAGAAACAGATAAAAAGTCTCCAGAGGAAAGATCAAAAGATGCAAAGGTAGAAAAAGCATTATTATATCCTCCTTAGATATTCATTAATTAATGAGAAATGGCCAACAGAAGCAAATGTAAAAAATAATGACAAAACTCAAACATTACAAAAAAAAAAATAATTTTCCTTATTACTTTAACAAGTGGAGTGAGTATTTGCTGAAATATATAGCTGCAGATGGAGCTTAGTGGGTCTTTTGTAAAAACTTTAAGCTGATAGTGCAAGTAATGTTAAAAGTTTGGTTTACTTTTGACTTTACCATTTATAATATACAATAATTAAAACTTTAAATTATATATATATATACATATACACACACATTGAAACATTCCTACATTCAGCAAAAATTAGAATACAGCATACAGCAGTTTTAAAATGACAGTAATAAAATTTTTATACCTTGAAATTTTATATTTATAAAATTTTCTTTATTTAACCTTAATTTAAACAGACTAAAATACCAAAATATTTTAATTAAAAACTGAATTATTGTTATAGATCAGTGTTTTTCAGCCTGTGGGTCGCGACCCCCAGGGAGGTCACGGGTAAAAGAAGTGTTTGTAGGTCTTACACTATAATAAAAAAACTACAATCTCAGTGAGAAGGCTGTGCCTGTTTATTTTACAGTACAATTGGTTTTTTGATCGATATTTAGGTCTCAACAGAAAGAAACTTAAATACAGTAGAGCCTCGATTATCCGACTTAATTGGGGACTGGGGTTGGTCGGATAACCGAAAAGTATGAAAAAATCCATTATTAGTATAGTATATTATTATATCCTATGTAATTAGTATATCGCTATTAACCTACTTTGCATTGAATTTTCATCGATGTTAAGCCTAACAAAAATTTTTTAAAATAATAATCGTTGCTATTGTATCGTTAAAAATTAGAAAATTAAGCCTCGTTTAAATACTGGCTCCCTTTCATGGTCGATCCAGTGTTGCCAGCTAAAACACGTAAAAATAATATTAAAGTAGCCAAGACATAGCCAAATATTGTAGTGCCACATCACTAGCGGACATTTGAAATTTGCCGACTAGGACGGTCAGTTAATCGGAGGTCGGATAATCGAGGCTCTACTGTACGTAGTTTTTAAAATCACTGACATAGTTTTAATATGACCCTGGGGGGTCGCCAGATTTTTTTTAACTTGTAAAGGGGTTGCTTATTCAAGAAGGTTGAAAAACACTGTTATAGATATAACCATTATTATTTTGTAATATAAGAAAGTTTTAACAAACACAAAAATATTGATGACATCTAACAAGAATTTATAGCATTTAAAATTTAAAGAATGTTAGAATTTTAAAGGTAATCATATAATAAGAGGAAATATTTTATTTACATATTTCTAATTCTTTTGATTATTATTAAATAATAAATATTTTTTGAAATTAATAGCATTTACTTTTATTTAGTTTTAATATGTTTTTAATATATTTTATATCATTAAATTTTTTATTTGAAAATTCTTTATCACATCCCATAAAATTAAAAATATTAATAAATTGAAGTATCACAGTACTTCTTTCTATGAATTATTTAACCGTTTAACTGAAATTTCTAAAATCATTTTTTCTAAATTAACTTATCAGAAACAAATTTTGTTATGAATGTATAGTGATATAATGTCACTTTTCCCTTTTTAATTTTCTCAAGTATCATAATTAATAATAATCAGTAACTATTAAAAAATACTTAGTCTATAATAATTTGGAAGTGATATATATATATATATATATACAAGCTATTTTTATTAGATTATAAAAATCTGAGATAAAATCCTAGAAATTTATCTCAAATTTTTACTTTACATTTAAATTTTTGTTATTGTAATCGAAAGAGTTATTTGAAATAACTTCCAATTTTATTAAAAAAGTTATTTATAGCGTTATATCTGAAATGAAAACAAAAGATGCTGATTTAAAGATTTGCTTTTCATTTCAGATATAATGCTTTAAAAAGCATTACATTAGATAAATATTAAATGTACCCATATTGCTTACAGCATACACAAGGACTATTACATTTTTAGGTAATGTTAAACAATGTTTTGTGTGTGGCAGAATTAACTCCAAAGACAACAGTCATAGATTTTTCCTCAGGCTAGGCACAAATGCAGCAAAAATACATGCTTTTTTTCTCTGAAATACACTTACAACCACTGGAGTGTGGCTTCATGACTGATCCTATTTTTTCAAAATGTGCAATACCAATACATTATGCAATTGTACTTAAGTTTACAGTTTTAGGAAGATGCCTATCAAAACTTGTATTTAATAGCTGTCACACACTCAAGCTTTAAATACCAAAGAACACAGTAAATTTTGTGCTTTAGTTCTCTCCAATTTTGTTTGGTATGCTTCAATCCATATTTTAATTTGTTATTAGACATTCTAACTAGAATCTGTATCTTGAAAGCTGATCAGTTTCTAGTAATCCTTTTTTATGTAATAATTTACAA